CACACACACACACACACACACACACACACACACACACACACCTGACAACCATGGGGCCACCAGCCCTGGGTTCCCACCATCCATCACTCACTCCCACTCGGCTCGGGGGGGCTGGAGGACTCAGATTTCTCAGATTTCTCTGATATCTGCAGGTTTGCTGTTCTGTTCCAGCTGCTGTTCCCGGGAAACGTTGACTCCATTAGTGTGTGTTCCTCACCGTCTCCAGGAGCTGGTTCTGTATTCAGCCCCGGTGCACGGAGGCATGATGAGAGGAGGGGGAGTTTCAGCCCATCAGGACAGATGGAGGCAGAGAACAGCCAGAATAATTCGGAAATGTTTGATTCTGTAATACTTGTATTAAGTTCTTCTTGTCTTCATCAGTGTTAGCCATGCTTTTTGTTTTCTTCGGGTCAGACAACAATAATCCACAAGAGTGTATTTTTTTCTGTAATGTGTGAGTTTAAATCAACTGGTACGGAGGTCCTGAGCAGATGTGGGGCTGTCACAGGAGGAGATCCAGGTCAGAACCGGCTCCTGACGTCCAAAGATCTGCTCTGACTCTGGGATCAGGTCTGATCCAGTGTGGCCTGTTTGAACCCAGCTGTGGATTCAGTCTGTTGAGCTTTAACCTGAGAAGCCAGACCCATTTTTCCCTGAATAAAACTGAACAATTGAACCCATTTATCAAAATCTTTTTTTTCCTGGAGCCACCACAACGTTTCACAGATCTTTGATTTCAAGAAGTTCAACTGGCCATTTCAAGGTGAAAGTATTTTGGGTTTAAATGGTTGTTACACCTGTGTAGGGAGAGGCTGGGTCCCCCTGGACGGTCCCCAGTCCATCACAGGGACACACAGAGACACACAAGGACCCACAACCACACACACTCACACTAAGGGCAGTTTGGAGTCCAACAACCTAACATGCAGGTTTTTGGACGGTGGGAGGAAGCCGGAGAACCCGGAGAGAACCCACAGACACAGGAGAACATGCAGACTCCACCCAGAAAGGTCCTGGTTCCCCCGGGACTCCAACCCAGAACCCTCTGGTCCTGGTTCCCCCGGGACTCCAACCCAGAAC